GTGTGCCTTGGCAGTCTCCTTCTCTCTGTCTATACCTGTGTACTCTCATGTTCCGATTAACCCAGCTTCCCCTAATTTCTTTCTTTTTGGTGTCTATATACGCCGGGATCCGGAGTCATGGATGATCCTGCGGTCCTGTGTCATGGATTGCGAGTCCTGGATCTTGAGCCGTGGCTGTGGTCCTGGATCATAAGTCCTGGATGGATATACTCGTGGATTCATCTTCCTATTATACACACATGCATTTCCAAACATTTGGACTACCTATGTTGCAAATGTATTATCTTTTCAATTTACACACGGCATCTATTGCACGTCTGTCCGTCCTGGGAGAGGGATCCCTCCTCTGTTGCTCTCCCTGAGGTTTCTCCCATTTTTCCCTTTAAACTGTGGGTTTTCTCTGGAAGTTTTTCCTTGTACGATGTGAGGGTCTAAGGACAGAGAGTGTCGTATTGTCATACTGATATTCTGTACAAACTGTGAAGTCCACTGAGACAAATGTAACATTTGTGATATTGGGCTATATAAATAAACATTGATTGATGATAAAAGATCAGCACAAGGCTGTAAACAACAGGCAACTAATATGGAGTCCAGATAACAGAGCTTTGAAGTTTTAACCAAAACATCATCAGACCAGTTAGGTCAAACCATGTATTATACAACTACATAATATTCTTACAGTGGTTTGGAGTCCAGAGGCTTCACATGGGCCTTGTGTACGAAGCCGGTGTGACCTGTGGACGTGTGTGTCCCTATGAACACGGCCAGGCCTCGGACCAACAGACCCTGGATCTCCACAATGTCCCCCTGACTCAGCTGAAGCTCATCCATGCCCACCGGACTGTAGTCGACTATTGCTTCACAGGAGCCTGTCACTGAGGTATTTGATGAGGAAAAGGTTAGCACAAGCAGAAGTTATGAGAGTTTCAGGGTCAATATGTCAGAACATTGCAATATGACAATTCAGCAGTCATTTCATTTTTGTTTTGTTTTATTTTCTGCTCAAGACTTGACTAGATATAAAACGATGAAGTAAAAATGCCTTTCACAAGTGCATACAGGTTTAAGCTGCCGGTATATGCTTAAGCATATAAATATTGATTCACTGTAACCGTGCACTGCTGTGTGTTCCAGTAAATAGAAGGTAGTACAGTTTGATATTATCCTTTGTATTTGTATACAGTAAAACAGCTGACTTCCCAAACACAATAATGTAGAGAATTACGCTTTCCTTTCAGACTAGTCACAAAGTATTCAATTTTAACATAATTTATAATGCATGCAGACACCTAAAGGTGTGAATGAGTCTGGCTTTGGGTAAGTACTGCAATCCTTCAAAAACAATCACTACTACAACTCTAGTTGCAACCGTTACATCATTCTATCTTTAAAGTATGGTCAACATGTTCCCAAACACAACCAGCAGACATTGAGCAACAGTAGCATTCATTTGGAGACATGATTCTATGTCAAATTAAGGTCAAATATTGATCCCTGGTTAGCTCTGATTTTGTCTCCAAAACCTATGATGGAAATATATTTCCCCAAACGCCCCTCTATGTTCATCAGCTTGTGCAAATCTTTGTTTCTCTCGCTGGTTGGTGCTGAGAAAGTAGTGTACTATGAGTTTTCAAAGCTTTTTAAATAAAACAGCTGCGTCTGACAACAACATTATGAAAGTAGCTTTTAGCAAATTAATCTCAGCTTCCAACGGTCAGAAGAGGAGTTGGTTTTAACTGAGTTCAGTGTACCGCACATTCTGTAGAATGTGTGAACATTTCGTAAGATAAATATTTGTACCTATAGAATGTTCAAATAGTTCCTTTTCTGCTGGCGAGTATCCAGCGTTGCCAGGGTACTTCCTCAGGAACCACCTGACCAAACAGGAAGTATAGTTTAACAAAACTATGCCAACTTATGTGGAAATATGTTTAACATCTGTATATTGCTGCTCTGTTCATTCAGCCCACACGGTATACAACAGAACGTGTTAAAGGAATACTTCATCCACAATATGACCATTTCTACATACATTATTTAAGAATTAAATTATTGTTGAAAACTTTGTTTCACATACCTCAACAGTGAACAAAGGGAGAAAATAAACTCATGAGGTATGATGAAAAGTATCTTGTGTCAAGGCTTTAACTACTTCCCTAAAACATGCATTTTTCCTCACATTTTTCTATTTGAAATAAAATGTCTTACTCTACAACTGTTAAATGTGTGGTTCATAGTGTAACTGTAGTTGAATGTATCTATTTAAATTATATTTTCTTAGTTTATTTTTTGCCGATGAGGAACATAAGAAATATGTTTTTTTCACAAATTCACTGGGTGAATACTTGATCTACAAATGATCATTTGGTGGATGAAGTCTTCTTTTAATCACACAATTGCTTTCAGTGTAAATCAAGGAATTAGGAACTGACGAGGCACATTTCAGGAGCACAGAGAGACTCACTGATAGAAGGGGTAAGGCAGCGGTTGCATGGAGTTGACCGGCACCAGACCGTGGTTTCCTGTGGAGAGCTTTGTGCCCTCCCACATGTTGTCCTGCCCCGTGTCCCTCACCATCAGCAAGTCGTTCTTATTGAACGCCAGCTGCTCTTCGTCATCCTCATCCATATCAGTTCTTGTAAAAAGCGCCTTTGCAAAGAAGGAACCTGCACAGAGTAGACTGAATCAGCCTCCCACATTAACACAGACAAATAAGCGTGTGTGAGTCAGTGTTTTTGATGGAAGCCACATCACACTTAAATGAAACATCAGCAAAAGTGCTACAGCTTGTGCGCCCTCATTCAGTCACTGGCAAATGATGGATGTTTTATGTACTCCTTCTATTAAGTTTATGTAATTCTCATCACTTTTTGCAAGCTCTGCAGTTTTATTCCATGGAGCTTTTTGCCTCGGGGAAATGTCCGGGAGAAGCCAGTGACGTTTACCAGCCAGGAGGAAATCAATTCTTAAAGGTAAATATTACAAAGGTTATGCATTTGCAGAACACTAATTTTATAAGTGCATAAGCAAATTGCAAAAATTCAATTCAGTTTTCATTTACTTCACTTGTAAAACTCGATACATCAAATATAAATCATTATAACTTTGACTTGTAATTAGAATTACTTTATGTTTGAGGACATTGGCTTTTCTAATGACAATAAGCTGTCCATTGCCATAATTAAAGTCCAAAGTCATTTGCAGCAGTAAACTCATGAATCTCTCGTGGTGTTAATTGGGATCAGTGAAGAAGGATTACAAAAAATGGGATGAAATGGCAGATACAATTAACCACTATATAATTACAGTGATCATTTTTAAGACACATTAGCCTTTTCCCTCTTTTTGTTTAAAATATAAAAATCAAAATGAAGTAGCAGAAGATGACTGACCCTCCTGGAGTAACAGTCCCAGGTAGAGTGTGGCCAGATGTTCCTCGTCCACAGTCACGTTGATCTGCAGGTCGCTGAGCAGCTCTGGGTCCAGCCAGAAGGACTGATCACACAGGAAGTTCTCCAAGCAGCGAGCAACATAACCTGGGAGAGAGTAAATCAGACCCAAACTAGTACTCCCTTAGCTAATATCACTTTATCCTCAACAACAGAAATGTATTTAATGTTGATAATAACAATAACAATTTGTTGGTGATGTGACAGTCAATGAAGCACTTAAACTGTGCCATTTCAAAGTTTTTACCTAAGGCTAGGTACGTTGAAAACTTCCAGATTTCCTCCACAGTCTTGAAAGTGAGTACGAAGCTGTCCTTCTCAGCATGGACAGACACCAGCCGTGCAGACAAGTCCTGCAGGAACAAAGCATCGTGTTTCACTAACAGTAGAGCCATCAATTTCCATTCCAAGCACAATACATAAACATATCATATTGCATTTTAGAGGTTCTTATCCACAATGCACCTTTGTATCCGTTATGATTTCAGAAGGATTAAGTAGTACAGTAATGTCTGCATCGTCAGCTCAGACTCACTTTAAAGAGCTGGATCACATCCTGGCTGTTGCTCTCCACCACTCGGAGTCGGGTGCGCAGCGCCTCCTGTAGGGCCCGGTCCGGATCCATGCTGGAGCGCCTCCTCCCAGTGAACAGCAGCTCAATTTCTACGCAAAACAAAAGAAGATTGCTGTGATCAATCACTCTTAGGTTGATTATTTTCACTAGTGGAATCATACGGAATACAAACAAATCCAATGCAAATAGGCTCAGATGAAAAATTAGCTCGGCGGGAGGATTTATCATCCATTGTCACCCAGAAATAAACAAATAATGTGTGTGTAATCCTTTTTGCTAATTCATCACACTTGCACAAGTCAGTTGTATTTCTCTGTCACTGAGTAAAAGGGAAATTCATCGGAAGAGAGACAAAACTTTCAAGACTTCATTAAAGATTTTACACAAGTGCTCGTATTTCAGCAAGATGCTCAGTAAGCATGTTTGTCCCAGGAGGAATAACAAAGCTATTAGGCTTCATACTGGACTCTCAGTGTTTCCATTTAAATCCATTTGAGAGGAAGAACCTAGGGAAATGTGATGGATGGAGTCAAACTGCTGATAGGGTAAACATTAGTATGGAGATGTGCCTTATCTGTTTAATGCAGGGGAAATGCTTCTGTGTATGCAAGATAATTGGTTTAGCCTGGCTAATGTAAAAGCTAGTTTTTCAATACAAACACAATGCAGGCTATGGCCCATGGCGAAAAGCATCTATAAATGTACCTGAGGAGAATTTCTCTCCGAGTGACACAGTACTTCCTCTGAAGAATGCCTCTTTCTTCTTCCAGTAGCTGTCAGGCTCCCCTCCGCCTTCACCTGACTCCACCATTGGACCGTCCTCCTTCTCACCTGCACAGGTCAAAACAAAAAAATGTCAGGAGAAAAGCTTGTCATTTTTCTTATTCAACCTTCAAAGGAGAGCATCTATGTCCTTCTTTTATGCACCTTAAACTCAATCAAGTGTTGGTTAAGCCTGTTTATCCCAAACAACATTTTGTATTTTGGTTGTTTACGTGTTGAATGTAGAAACAATTTTATCAAAAGGGTCATCACAAGTGCTGTTCAAAGTGTACAATGCAAGTCCTAGACTGTCATGGAGATTCAATGGAAATGTTACCAGATGACACATCTTAAGTAGTCTTAAGTAAGGTACAGAACATATGTAACAATCACACTCATTTGAACCCAAATCATTTTCCTAACTGCAACCAATCAGTTTTGTTTACCACTTCAACCTTGCGTGTAGGTGAGGTTTGCGCCATAGAAAGCAATATAATGGTAGTGATAATAACTGATAACGGTCATTTAATGAGCTGATAACATCCAAACTTCCAATCAATGTTTAGTTTCTAAACAGTCAGCAGCCTGAGAGCCTGGGAAGCCCGGAGCGTACGTTAAGGTAAAAGTCAGTGAAGAACTTTGATCATACGTTCAACTAATTAATGGATGATAAGGACAAGTTAGCTGTCATACTACAGTAGAGGCAGAACTACACGTGCTAGAGATGTTTACATTACTTTTAACTGACTATTTTTCTTTTGGCTACCTCAACCACTATCCACTGCTTTTTCACTTGTTACTATTAATCCACAACTACAGACTTTCTGATTTAACTATTCATCCCTTAGATTTAGATAACTATAAAGTACCCCCACCACTGACTTTATGTAAGCTGTATGTCTTTAACCATTAACATGATCTTAATAGTTTTGAAACCTATAAATATCAACCAGATGGATGCGTATAATAGCTGGGCATTGAATTATAGTGCTGACGAGCTTCCCCTGGTTTGTTCCATTGTGAGGGGAGGATGTCCCAAACACTTCCTCAGTTTGTGATCGCAGACAGCAGCTTTAATGAACCGCATGACAAGTGTTGACTTTGTAGTAATCGTTTTCCGTATTTGATTGATATGTTTATTTTACAATGTGTACCTTGAGTCATGATGTCATTTCCTGAGAAGTGTACATGTGCTTCCCCAAGAGTATATGGTGGTTCCCTCCAAAGAGCATCCAACTCAGCAGGAGAGATGTCTGTAAAAATGGAAACAAATCAGTACATGAACCTGTGGAAAAACACGTGTAGTCCCCGTTACTTCCTTTTACTATCAAATGCTTCACTGATTTTCAAAGCAGTTTAAATATTATCTAAAGGCATCTTAAAGTAAGAGTTTGTCATTTTGTATAATAAACATATTTCCTTTCTTGCAACAAAATAGATGACAACCTCAATACCAGTCTCCCGTTGGTATTATTTGTAGCTGGACACAGCAGTTGGTAAATTAGCTTAGCATAAATACTGAAACGACAGCTAGCCTAACTCTGTCCAAAAGTAAAAATTGGCAGAACTTCTTAGTCTCACAACATGGTAAACTATGAAAACAAAATGTCCCTTTGTATACAGGGGCTGGAAGCAGCCTAGACTCCAAGACAATAACTGCTCCTGTATGGGCCGTCAAAAAAGCCCCCATAAATAAGCTTTAGATGGGCTTTTATTGTTTATCTGCAATATTTTAAATCGAAAACGCCAAGATCAAGCCATTGGTTAGTGTGAGGAGTTATCAGGGTTTTGGGGTTGGGCGGGGGTACAATGATGTTGAACAAACACAGGACCATCACAGACACACAACTGCTCTAATATCGAAAAACCTCCAGGCTCAGCCAGCTGCCCTGCTCCTGACACCTCCAACAGTCACATGTTGTCAGACATACAGTCACAGACCATAATAAGGAACACATTGTTAACCAAAGGGTAACAAGGTAAGTAATCATTTTGATTAAGATGAAATTGTTGCACATGCTTTGTCAGTGCACAAAACACAGCAGAACAGTATTATATTGATACAAAGCATTCACAACTGGACAATGGGGAGTACAACTTAGCAACACAATGCAACATGACATTAAGCCAAAGAGGACAACAGCCTATTCTTCACCACCCTACGACACAGAGCACAGTTAGCACCCACAGGACTGCGTGAGGCGACACAAGCACGGTCATGCTGCTACAGGACAGAAACACACACCATGCCCTTGTTACCTTCTTGGCTAGGTGTGTTACCCATGTTGTTTCTAAGAGCTATATGCTCCTGGCTATCTGAATGTAGAAGTCATGACAGTACAGCGGTAGCGCAGACAGAGAGCGGGCTGGGACAGACCTGTGAAGGAGGAGAGGCAGACTTTGATGAAGGGTCCACAGCAAGAGGAGTGGAGCAGCGGTCTGCAGCAACAAGACGCCATCTGGCCCAGGAGCCAGCAGCAGCTCCCAGAGATCAATGCCATCCCATCAGTCCCCCCCAGCTTCTTCTACAACAACAACTCGCTCTCTTCCTCTCAGTTGGACAAGCCCCGTTTCCCTTCCTATTCCTGTATTGCCTTTCCTGTGCTGCTCACTCTGTCTTTCCACAAGTTTACTGGATGTCCCACTGCAACTCTTATCTCCTCTTCTTCTCTATGTGTCTGCTTTCTCTTTCTAATCCCTCTGTCTCCATCTCCCTCCTCCCACAGCGTCCCTCTCTCTCTCTTCAGTAGCTGCCCAGTCAGTCAGTGAATGCACAAAGCACTCTCTGCGATTGGTATGAGTGTGTGTGTTAGTGTGTGGGGTGGTGGGGACAGGCCTTAGTGAGAGTCTGTTGTGTGTTCCCTATGTGGAAATATGCACAGAATGCGTTGCACAAAGACAATGTGTGTGTGAGAGTGTATCGCTGAGCCACTGTAAGGCAATGCCACACAGGGACAGGCAGCAAGGTCACAGAGAGGAGGGNGGGGGGGGGGGGGGGGAAGTAGCCTGGTGGCAACGATCGAGGATCAGTTTATCCACAGTTCAACACAACTCAGCTCTCTGCCATCAGACGAGTAACAGATTAGATGACAGCATCGACCTACACTGTAAGGTCACCATGAGGAAGAGGATGGATCTAATATTGGATGGTGAGCGATTCCATTAAGGTTTAAAGTGTTCAATGCTTCGTTATGATGTACAAAACTACAAAATGTGGTGCCATGGGAAGTTCACAACTGACTTCATGTGGCCTTTGCTATTGGAGAAGGAAATAGACTATATTGCAGCAATGGCTCCCTTCAAAGTTTGAATTAAACTGATCAAGTTCTCCAGGCCACAGATTGTGCAGAAAGGGGACTCCAGTTTGATGAAAGTAAACTAACCAAATTGGTCACTCAGTAATGCTCTACCACAATGTGTTCACTCAGTCGGAAATGAAAAGCCCAAATGATAGTGCCAGATTTAAAAGCTCTTGTATGTGATGTCTTCCTGACCTGGGTCTGTCCAAAGGACATGTTTAACAATCTGTAGCAGCCAACTGGAACACAATTCCCCTTTCTATTTGGTGAAGATCTCAATAGGACACAAAGAAAGAGCTGAAATTAAAATCTGCATTCGATACAAGTTGATAGGTAATATATCAATATCCTATTTGTACTGAGAATACTATGAGCTCACTGATGAATACGAGTTGGATAACATCTGAAGATAATACTCAAATTCTACTCTCATATAATGCCTTTAATTTAGAACATTTTGATTAAAACTAGGCTTATACAACACAGCCTAGCCTAGCCCATAATGTCTATGTCGGAATATTATTTGTATGGAAATGTATGGCTGCAGAAAATTGTTGTTGGGGGAGGGAATTTCCCTCTTTCTTTATTGTAGACTGTAGAGCACATCCCTGCTTGCTGCCCTGCAAACTTATTTTAAAGCTTTATTACTTTATGTGTTAAAGGAAATTGAATTTGCCTTTATGAGTGCTCGCTTCAAAAGTTAGCAATATTCAACTTTTGAAGCTCCGACGGAAATGTTAGCCAATCAAATCATATGCCAGTACAAGCTCTAGCCAATCAAACCGCATGCTTGTGTGTCTGAGGCGGGAGATTCATGTGATTGGTGAGTTTCAGACACGCCGTGTGGACGCTGCGTAACTCATGTGTATCTGAAAGCAGTGACGGTAAATTTCCATGGGAAGTTAAAGGTGGGGTAGGTAATTTTGGAGAAACCAGCTTGAGTGTGCTAGAATTTGAAAATACACAGCCGGAAGAAATCTGCTATTTCCTTACAGAGCCCCTCCTCCAACACACACGAACGCGCACATGACCAATGAGGGCACGAGATAAGTTTGCCATCCAGTCATTTTAAGCGGGCCGGCTCAGAATGTCATCTGTGGCTTCCACAGATGACATTTTTTTATGGATTTTTTGTCAAAGCACTTAAGACAGGGATGGGCAAATGGCGGCCCGCGGGCCGCATGCAGCCCCCACCTCCTCTTTTTGAGGCCCTCAGATTAATTTATAAACAACGTAATTAATTTAAAAAAAAGTACTTGTAGTACTGATACCGTCCACTATAGACTCCTAGTTACGTCGCGAGCTGCGTACATGATTTAAAATACCGCAAAAATAATCTGTGACGCATTTGTGTGTATTGTGTTTGTTTGGAAACCCTCACAAGAAACACCGGCTGTTGTTATGTCTGCTGTGACGTTAAGTTGCCTCTTGTAATTATGCCTTTACAAGCTTAAAAGTTGTTTTTATCATCTGAATTTGGCGAAACAAGTTTAATATTCTTAAAACCAAGACTTTGTTTATTTGAAATCAGATGAAAACAAACTGTCACGGACCCTGCCGTGTTATCTATGATTACTACGCTTTTCATTCATAATTTCAGCGGGAGGGAGGGGGAGTGGTGCTGAGGAACAGCAGAGTGCGGGCTGACAGGTGTCTGTGTTGACATTCCCCTTATTGTGGAATAAGGGGAATGCAGAGACTGGCTACAAGT